TGGAGAGAAAGTGACGCAGTGCCCTATAAGGTGCCCTTACAGTGGTCAAAGTGGCCCCTATGGGTACCCTTCATATGGAAAAGGGTGCCATTATGAAGTGCCCTTCTAGTGGAGAGAATGTGATGCAGTGCCCTATAAGGTGCCCTTACAGTGGTCAAAGTGGCCCCTATGGGTACCCTTCCTGTGGAAAAGGGTGCCATTATGAAGTGCCCTTCTAGTGGAGAGAATGTGATGCAGTGCCCTATAAGGTGCCCTTACAGTGGTCAAAGTGGCCCCTATGGGTACCCTTCATATGGAAAAGGGTGCCATTATGAAGTGCCCTTCTAGTGGAGAGAATGTGATGCAGTGCCCTATAAGGTGCCCTTGTAATGATCTAAGTGGCCCCTATGGGTACCCTTCCAATGGAAAAGGGTGCCATTGTGAAGTGCCTTTTTAATAGAAAAATGTCTCTGTTGGCTACCCAACCAGTGAAGAAAATGAGGTACGCTGCTCCACTCTGACATGCAGTTTCCCGGACATGCAATAAAAGTAGATGAATTATGTACCCTCTGTGTGTTCCTATGTACATGAAAATGTGATGCCTCTAGTTGAACTATCTTAATCAGGGACTACTTCACCAAACATAGCTTGCCATTCTACACGTGTTGGTGGGCCACTGTCATACTATAGGCCCTTTATATTTTATCGCCCCTGCCCTCTGAACACCCTGAGCCACTCTCTTTAGCATTAATATAACATGATTAATTGGCTGTTTATTTATGAATTACTGTATATGCCCATCCAGGGTTAGGGTTAGGGTTAGGTTTAGGGTTAGGGTTAGGTTTAGGTTTACTAACTGCAGGTGTGTCCTGTGCTGCCTTAAATAGGCACCAGACCCGCCACCCGATCTTGACCAGGATATGTAGTTAGAAGATGGACATATATTCAAGAACTGTTTTGTCATATTTGCTTGCAAAAATTGTTATTCAAATGTTATTCCTATTCCTCATTTCATCATATTGAAAACACTGAACTATTAAGGTTTTATAAATAGCACATGTATACATGGTATCATAGAACTCAAACTAGAACTAGACATACCCAGGATAATTTTCCCACTTTTGAATTTATTGCCATTTGGATTTTTTTTTCTGCCATTTCATTCTCTTTTAGTGATATTAACACAATCAACGAGGGATTGGGAGACAAGATCTGTTTATTCGTGCAGTATTTCTGCACATTCATTGCTAGCATCATCATTGGGTTCATCAAAGGTTGGAAGCTGACCCTTGTTATCCTAGCAGTCAGTCCTCTTCATGCTGGATCTGCTGCACTCTGGTCCACGGTAGGAAGAACCAAACTTCTCATGATGATTGTCCAATGAGGTTATATATTAAATATTAAGGAATGTAGGAAGGCAGGCACTGAAGAACCTGTATTCGTCCCCTGTGGTCTCACTTTTTTGAGTAACACTGTTGAGTGTTATGTGCTCTCTTTAGATCATTGCCTCCCTGACCAGTAAGGAGCTTTCAGCATATGCCAAGGCTGGGGCAGTTGCTGAGGAAATTCTTGTGGCTATCAGGACAGTCGTGGCTTTCAATGGGCAGAAGAAAGCAGTGGAGAAGTACGTCTCGCTCTCCCAAGTAATAGATGCCTCACTGGGAAATGTCCTCAGCAGTAGCATGAAGGGTTTATATTGTGTGAAATTCCCTGGATCTAGATTGGGTCCCGTTACCTGTGTTACAGCTCCTGAATGTCATTTCCTCTGTCACTGTCACTTTGCTCTGCTGAAACAGGTTACAGTCAGAGCACAATGCTGATGTGAGATTGCCATCACAAAGCACAAATCAGCTGGCTTGGCGGCTGCATTTCTTTCAGACAAAGAGATAAACATAAATATTTGTCAGAGGAGATATCAGCAGCATCTTATAGTATACAGGGGTGAATTCTATTCCATTCTCTTTTAGGTATGAATCTAACTTAGAGGAGGCCAAAAATTTTGGGGTGAAGAAGGCTATTGCAACCAATGGAACAATGGGACTCTCTCAGTTCTTTATGTTGTCAACATACGCCCTGGCCTTTTGGTATGGAAGAAAGCTTACAGTCGACGAACCTGAAAACTACTCCATTGGACAAGTTCTCACTGTAAGCCATCATAGACTGTCATTTTAGCAGTAATGACGTATGTCATATATATTAAGAAATATGCAAATGTCTTACTCTATATTTTGGTAGTTTAGTGCATGCATTTGTATTTGGCATTCTAGGCTTACTGCAATCTACTGAATTTCATGTGTTTTAATAATAATGTTCATTTTCATTTTCAAGGTGTTTTCTGCTGTGATGATCGCAACATCATCTCTGGGTCGAGGAATTCCAATCTTGGAGAGCATAGCCAAGGCTCGTGGGGCGGCCTGTGAGATCTACAAGACCATCGACCTGGTATCGATATTAGCCTGAAGCTACAGTCACTTTCAGCTAAATATCACCCAACCTCTACTGTTTTCATGCAAATTGACCCTTTGTATTCCAGCCACGTCCGATTGACAGCAGCTCGAAGGAAGGTCACAAGCCAGAAACGGTGAAAGGAGACATAGAATTCAAGAACATTCACTTCAGCTACCCATCCAGGAAGGATGTGAAAGTAGGTGATGATGTAGTTTTGTGTGCAGAAGAAAACTTCTCTTTAGTATGGAAGCGTATTACTGCCACGACATAAAAAAATATTCTCACTATCACGTTGTAACGTGAAAGTATTACATTATAATGTGAAAACATCACGTTAAAACCACATGACCAAAACAAGGAGCAACATTTTGATGCAAAAACCATATAGCCAAACATATATTTATTAAATACTAAAGATTCATGTATGTGAAGTATTGTTGCAGGGTGTGACCAGTAATATGCAGTAATACGAAATGGTAGTTTCACATTATTCAAACCCAGAGAGGTAAGTTTTATTCCATACAACTGTAGCACCCTTTCCCCGTACACTGCGATTAGGAAAGGGGCCCAGTGTACGTCCCACACCGGCCTGGCATTTATATCGCTCTCCTTACCATCCCAAACTCTAAGAAAACAATTAACAATTGACCGACTGAGTATTTTCAAAACACAAAAACAAACATACCGTCCTGTGTCCATGAAATAAGACCACGTTTGGGCGCGGTGAGTCGGCGCTTGTTTGGTGCCGGAGGAGCTTCTCCGGTAACTTGGGGCGCTGTCTGGGTTCTCCTGGGAGTAGGCTCTCAGATAAGCCGATCAATCCCCTCTTTTTCGTCGCTGGAAACTGTCCGTCCCCTGCACACGCACTCTTCACCTTCCTCCTGTCTCTTTTTTCTCTCTCCTCCCGCTCTTTCTCTCTCGCCTCCCCTCCTTCCCCGCCATTATTCTTCTCTCACCTCTCACATGACCAGGGACATATCCGCGCGAAACAGAATTTAACACCTTAAATTGTGGGCTAACCCAAATTTACAAAAAATGTAACATCATGGTCAACACCATGGCAATTTCTGACGGACATTATGATCAAAATGCAATTTTTAGCACAGACATGGTATAAAAGCATGGCCTACATAGTGATTTAACATGGACACCGATGAGTCTTGCCATGGACGCATTTGTCCGTGAACGGACAGGGGTGCGGCTCCAGAAAGCTTAGTAATGCTACAGTAAGCAGTTTATCTAGTAGATTGATTGTTAATTAGCACGTTTGCTGAAACCCATGACAAAAACACATTGACACTTTTTTGGACAACATAATAATGCTGGTGATATAATAAGAGATCAATATTGCAAGACAAAACTATGAAGTCGACTATAAATTAGTGCAAAAGTGGCTTGTTGCTGTAACACTTGTATGCAATTTAAGTAGATAACAGGGCTGTGAATCAACTGACTTGAGAAATTCAATTCATGGTTGAAAACATGTTACAGAATCACAATTCGACTTAATATAAGGAAGTACAATTAAAATGAAATTTATTTCACATAAATTCATATATATGGTGCTTGTACAGCTTTAACAATAGAGCTTAATGTTCCACTTATTAGAGGGTGGCATGCTGGTGCAGTGGTTACCCTGGTCCCTCACGCCCCTGGGACCTGGGTTCAAGTCCCTGCTAGGGTTCCATGTGTGTGGAGTTTGTGTAATTTCCCCTTGTTTTTGTGTGGTTTCCTCTAGGTACTCTGATTTCTCCCCTACAGTCCAAAAACATGCTGAGGCTAATTCGAGATACCAGTTTGCCTATAGGTGTGTGTGAGAATGTGCCCAATGACGGGTTAGCACTTCATGCTGGGCTGTTCCCCACCTTGTTGTGTGTGGCTACTCAGGGGTGTGCAAGATAAAAAGGTTTAATGCCATGAACCAAAGCTGATACCTTGAAAGGTAAAAACAGTTCCATGGTCAAAAAACAGGCAGGGGTGAAAACCAGGAGACAGATGGGTAAAGGAACAAAAGCACAAACACAAAACAGGCTGTGGTCAAAAATAAACAGGATCAGCACAAAGATTAAGCAAAATCATAAGTAAGAAGGCAAAGCAATGGTCAAAGCACAGCAAGGGAGCTATACAGTATGATACTCAAATGCAGGACATACCAGTGACTGTCTCACAAGGGACGGTAGGAAGGAACAGGGCTAAACAGAGCAAGAGAACAAGACACAGCTGGGTACGATGTAACAGTCCAGGTAATCAAGGGAACAGAAATAGCTGGGTAACCATATGGGAGAAGCTGAAGCTCCGGTTCTGGGAACTGGAGTCTGCTATACCCAGACCGTGACAGATACAGTGGGGAAGGATGTTGAATTTAACTGGGGAAAAGTTGTAGGAGGTGGTGTGGGAATCCCGGGGTGCCTGGAGACAGCTGACCAATGAGCTTTTTGAAAGAGACACGTTGTTATACCTGCACCAATGTACTTTAATCACATGATCAGATTATCCAGCCATTTTAAGGGATACAAATATAAGATTGATAGGCATGTTTGCAATAAAGAGTTTTCAGAAAATGTAAGAAATGGGGCTTTAACTGTTTTCAATGTGGGATTAAATGTGTCATTTATATAATTTCCTGGTGAACCAAATGAGAATCAGTAAATTAGCTAGTTTTTTAAGGGAATAGCACTGAATCAGCTCCATGGATAGACTGAATGTGAAGACCTCTTTGAAGACTTTCCTGAGGACAATTGGAACAACTGGCCCAGGATCGAGATGTCTGGAGAGATTGCAGTAGCAGGCTATGCCCCGATAACGGCCACAGGGAATGATGATGATGATCTCTTTGATTCCCCCACTAGATCCTACAGGGTGTGAATCTGGTGGTCCCTCGTGGAAAGACCATTGCCCTAGTGGGAGCCAGCGGCTGTGGAAAGAGCACCACCATCCAGCTTCTGCAGCGCTTCTATGACCCAGATGCTGGAGAGGTGAGAATGCCGGTCCAACTATGAAAGAAACACGTCATGGCCACCAAGGCTTTATGGCCGACAGGCCAGCAAAGGCACTGAGTTCTGCATCATATGGTGAAGAAGCAGGATATTTCCTTTAATGACAATGTTCTCGCACATTAGCCTTAGTTCTCACAGCGATTAATAACAGTGTGTCTCTGCGGCTGGGTTGCAGATCACTCTGGACGGCCATGACATCCGCACGCTCAATGTGAAATGGCTGAGGGAGAACATCGGCATTGTCAGCCAGGAGCCTGTGCTCTTCGGAACCACGATTGCTGAAAACATCCGCTACGGCTGGGAGAACGCCACGGACGAGGACATCGAGCGTGCCGTGAAGGAGGCCAACGCCTACGAGTTCATATCTAAACTCCCTGATGTAAGGCCACAGACTTGTTATGGGTTTTTATTAGCAAACCTCATGACTTATTTCAGTGATGTTGAAAACTTTTTTTTTTTGTATAGATTGCATAGTTCAGATAGCACCAGATGGTTCCCTGATTTGATAGAGCAGGTGATGACAAAAGATGTTTGCCATAGCTTAATACAATGACCTGTTCATGTTTAATTTATCACAGAAGATGAACACGATGGTCGGGGAACGGGGGGCCCAGCTGAGTGGGGGGCAGAAGCAGAGGATCGCCATCGCCAGAGCCCTGGTGAAAAATCCCAAAATCCTGCTACTTGATGAGGCCACCTCTGCTCTGGACACTCAGAGCGAGTCTATTGTGGAGGCTGCCCTAGATAAGGTAGGGCTGGTTAGCCAGACTTAGAGAGTAGGGTTCTACCAGTTTTACCAGGGTTTTGAGGTTACTGAATCACAGAGCTATTTGAACTATGATTGGACAAGACCTCCCCATTGAGGAACTCATCAACAGCTCCAATAATAGGGAATCTGGGTTCTTTCCCCAATGCATTGCATTAGCTATCTGTGGAATGGAAGCCCAGACTACCTTGAATTTCACTGAATTCAATAAGATAGAACTTTTTGTTAAATGTGCTAAATCACTCAGAGAAGCCTCTGCAGCATGTGTAGATTGACCATGAGGAATGTTGGGAATTTTCCAGGTGAGCCAATCAAGTGAGGGCAGGTCTCTCCTCTCCATCCCTGGCATTAGTGAGCTGATACACCAGGGATGCCCAACCCATCCATCAATCTTGGCTTGTTTCCAGGTGGATCACAGGAGATGAGCAATGATTAATGTTTATTTCATTGGGGGTCGCAATTGGCAAAATATATCAAGAGGGAATCCCCCCCCTCCCCAGTTGTTGGAAAGTCCTTGGGTTGCTTTTTGTTGCCAGTCCACCCCTTCCCAAGAGCGAAATGGAATGGAATTCTGGCAGTACAAGCATCGAAGGAAGATTGCTACAGTCATCATTAGACCAATGATTTACAACAAAAATGATAAGAATGATCAAACACTGACCTATGTCTGCAGTTACTTGTCTCCAGTTAGTATTACACACAACTAAGAATGCAGTTAATATGACAGGGGCAAATTGTGGAAAAATGTTATAAATCATTCACGTTGAGGTAATGATGCAAACAAAGATCTGTAATGACTAATTAGGATAAATAATACAACATTTAATAATAATCTAGATTGTTGTTCCAAGGCACGGGCCGGCCGGACTACAATAATCATCACTCACCGCCTGTCAACTATCAAGACAGCCGACATCATCGCGGGCTTCAGTGACGGTGTGGTGACTGAGCAGGGAACCCACAGCCAGCTCATAGCCTTGAAGGGGGTCTACTACTCATTAGTCATGCAGCAGGTAGCTACCAAGATTCAAGCTCAACGTTATCATATGATGACATCAATGTTATCATATTCATAAAATAAACCACCACAAGCTACCAGCTGAAAACGCATTTGTATTAACAAAATGCAGTTCAATATTACCAATTTCTTGACTTGTTCCAGTGCTGTACTTAACCAAGTAATGTTACATAGCTTAGATGATTTAATTTCTTTTAAATTACTGATAACTACAATCTAGTCTCCTCCAAAATAATTACATAAATTAACTTAACTATTCCGGCCATTTTACAGAATTTAGGTAAGGAAAACAATGCAAGTGAGTCAAGTGAAGACGACTCGTTTGATGAGGAGGAGGAGTCCTTTGAGGAGGATCCAGACTTTGAAGATAATCAAAACAATGACTTAGAAGAACATGGCACATCGCAGAACGTCTCTCTGAGGCGTACAGGCAGCTTCCGGCGGAGATCTTCCAAGAAGAAGAAGAAGAAGAAGAAGAAGTTTCTCAAGAAACCTGCAGATAAGGAGAATAAGGTATACTTAATGTGAGTTAAGGTGCGTAGCTTATTCAGTGGAATCCTGCAAGATGACTCAAGGTTTTTAGAAACACGTTAGCAGTTTTTTTCTGTCCAAACAATACACAGACTTCAATCTGCCCCATTAAATGTGGATTTATTTTTCCTTTGTTGTTGTAGGAGGAGAAGGTCCCAGAAGTTCCATTCAAAAGAATTTTAGCTTTGAATAAGCCGGAGTGGCCTTACCTGCTGATTGGGATGCTTGCCAGTTTAGTGGGCGGAGCCGTCTATCCCTGCGTCTCTATTATCTTTGCAAAAATAATTGGCGTGAGTAACTTCCTGACTTTCTGAAAAATAAGTGGCTGGTCTTCCTGGTGGAGTTTATACCTGAGATGTCATGCTCATTCTGTTCTACCACTGCAGGTCTTTGCTGAAACTGACCCAGAAGTGAAACGGCAGAAAACCATGATGCTTTCATTGCTTTTACTTCTGATTGCTGTAGTCGCATTCGTGATGTACTTCGTACAGGTCCATTACGTAGCCTTTAGATCCGCATTCTATCTGCCTTATATGTAGCTAATTAGCATTTGATGTTTTAAAATATTAATGTTTAAAATATTTTTTAAAATGTGTGTGTGAAGAAAAGTAATACAGGAAAACTCCATGGTTCCATGGTGAACGTGAATTCATTCATTTTAACTTCACTGCAAATATGAAAACTTAGTAATTTCTGTATTAAATGAAATGATACCTTTGATGTTGATAAGATGGGCCATTGCTACTGGTATCTCAAGGTGTACTGCTCCATCAAATATAACTATGTTAAGAAGTCTTTCCAGTTAGCCTGCACATAAATCAGTCACTTTCACTACTTACAGTGACACTGCCTGTGAAAAATGACTTGCTGAACAGCTGGCTCATTCCCTATTTCGCCCATATTTCAGGGTTTCATGTTTGGCAAATCAGGAGAACTTCTGACAATGAGACTGAGAAGTCAGTGTTTCAGAGCCATGATGGGGCAGGTAAGGCTGCATTTGTAAATGCATCTGATAAGTAATGAAAAGTCACAGAAATTCCTGGAAAACTGGGGACCTTGAACACACACGTGCACTGAAGCTTGTTCTGACTTTGTCTCCTTCAGGAAATCGGCTGGTTTGATGACAGCAGAAATGCGGTGGGAGTTTTAACTACTAAACTGGCAACCGATGCTTCACTGGTCAAAGGGGTAAAAGCAACCTTTTATTTTCAGTGCCCATTTGGTATTTGTGGGACTATGCTGAGTGATTGTGTAATAATTTAACTGATTAGTTCAGATGCTATAGCAATCTTTCAGCAAGCTCCAAAAATATTCCCATTAAGTTGTTGATGGCAAACCCGCAAATGAGCGAAACTGTGGATGTCAAATGCGCGGATGTCAGGTCAGGTTGGGGCGCATGCGCTGATGCAGTACGTTGCCACACCCACCACACATCGAAACTCCTTGGGATCCCGGCCGGCAATTCCCCAGGCAAATACACGGTCCAGTCCCACCCGGACTGTCACCAGAGACATGAATATCACTGCCGAGGTAGCTAAATCACTCAACAAGGTCGACATTGTCCCCGCAGACAGACACACAACTGATGGTTGCGCCCAAGAAGCCTGGATCTTGGTTTTTATCCAGGACACCAACAATCCCAGACACTTAAACTCCTCACTCAGTCTCTTGAGAGTTCCGACCACATCCTCCATTGACTCTGCTAAGATCACAGCATCATCAGCAAAGTCAAGATCAGTAAATCTTTCTTCACCAGCGGACACCCCACAGCTGCTGGACCCCACGACCCTGCCCAACATCCAGTCCATACAAGCATATGAGTAGAGTAGGAGCAAGAACATATCCTTGGGGAACCCCAGAATCAACTGGAAAGAACGCAGAGGTTCTCCCTCCACTCTGCACAGCACTGACAGTACCAGTGTACAGGCCGGCCATGATGTCCAGTGACTTCGGGGGGATCCCACGGAGTCTCAGGCTCGATGAGAACCCTCAGTGCAAGGATACGGTCGATGGTAGACTTCGTAGGCATAAAACCAGACTGCTCCGGTCGTTGACAGACAAGCAAGTGATCACGGATCTTGTTAAGGATGACCTTAGCAAGGACCTTACCCAGCACTGGAAGCAGAATTATTCCCCTGTAGTTGCTGCAATCCAGGTGATCACCCCTCCCTTTCCAGATAGGGACTACAGGTCCCGGTTTCCAGTCAGTTGGGATGATGCCTGACTCCCAAATGGAAGCAAAGATTATCTGCAATGCCAAGAGGACAGCCTTACCACCAGCCTGCAGAAGTTCACCCCAGATACCACAGATCCCTGTGACCTTCCCTATCCTCAGCTGATTCACCACCCGTGCAATCTCAGTGAGATTGGGTGGTCAGCTTTGAGAACCATGGACCCAGAGATATACAACATCCTAGCTGGAGGGTCAGCTTTAAACAGCTGTTCAAAGTAGCCGGCCCAGCAGGTCACAACTGCAGTATCATCCAAAAGGACCGTTGTCTCACTTGCCCTGACTGCAAGTCTCCGAGGAACAGATTCAGATGTGCGTATTGATTCAATTCCTCTGCAAGCAGAACGTGGGTATATAGACCACAGAGGGTGTGTCACCTGCTCACAGATTCGTCTAACAAACGCCTTCTTATCTGCCCTCAGAGTCCTCACAGCCGTCCTTCTCAGTTCCCAGTACAGACTGGAGTTGCCACCAAGTCGTGCGCTGCAACTCCTCTCAATAATATCCAGGGTGCCCTGGGAGATGAAACACCTCCTTCTGGGAACACTGGCAACAACAATACAACCCTCAGCAACCTTTAGGGTCTTATTACGGAAGGTCTCTCACATCACATTACAGTCAGCAGTCGCACCCAAGTCTGCAAGTTCTTCACACAAATTGCATCCGAACTCATCAGAAACAGCTTGATCTTGGAGTCCGGCTAAGTCCAGCCTCGTTCTCCTAGTAGGTGGTGGCCTACTGGATCTAAGCTGAATCTTCAGAGTAGCAACAACAAGTCTGTGGTCAGAATTTACAAACTGGGTGCTTCTGTAGACCCTGCAGTTCTGCAGGTGTCTCCAGCGTCTGCCCACGAAGATGTGATCGATCTCCTTCGCCGCACCACTGGTATTGAAGTGCCAAGTCCAAAGATGCGACTCAGGGTGTTGGAACCAGGATCCAGCGACCCGCAGCCCCTGACCTTTCGCAATGTCAAGGACCAAAAGTAGGTATACCCACCTACATAAATCTGACTACTCCACGGTCTGCGTACCTCAGAGAGTGCTGTCACCTAAACGCGGAGTTTACAAAGCTCCCCCGACAGCAGAGGAAAATGGTCATCTTGTCGGTAAGACAAGACGTTCCACACACTTACCCGGATGGGTCGCCTCAAACTGGGACCCAAGTGCCACCATGCAGCAGGCGACACCTCAAAAGCACACAAGCCCCAATCCCCAACAGGCCTGACTCTATTAGCTCTCCGACGGTTTTGACTCGTCCGGGGATGGGGCTCCCAAAGGCATTCCCCCATCCCCTTCATGGTGCGTGCAGCCTTGCTTTCTCAAACCAGTGCTCAGGGACCCCCAGATAGTCCAGGTTCTTGTTCCCTCTCACCTCTCAGAGTTTCAGAAACATAGTTTTAGAGGGGCTTTGGCGGGGATTGTGCTATCTGTCCATCTAGGTTGTTCTGCTGGGACTTGCGTAGTTATCTGCTATAGAAATGTCAGTAATGGCATTTCCTCTGTGGTGGTTAAAGCACCTAAAAATGCTGTGGCACCGAGCAGACCAAGGCATCGCAGCCATGGCGAAGAGATGAGGCTTTACACCAAGTTGCTCCTTAAAAGGACCACACTCAAGCAACCATAACACTCCGACAACAGCACGGAAATGCGGGGAGGTTATGCAGTAGACAGTAAAGCACACACATGGTGGGTAATTTCACAGTAGCTAGGGACAAGTCAGAATCACACATACAGTACAACACAGCTAAAGGTACTCGTGACAATAGGGAAATACAGCAGAAATATTAACAGTAACATTCTAATATTACATTATATTAATGAAAGCAAATGTTAAAGCAAATTAAAGCAAAATATTTTGCCTCAGTACTTTTCTTTTCTCATTTCCATTCTTTTTCAAAACCAGTGGAAACTTGGGCTGGTTCTCAGAAGGCACCAAGGGAGAACCAGCCCAGCACTGGCATCAGCTCCAGCTCAGACTTGGTGGAGAATAGGAATCTTGTTTCTCTCTGCCAGGTAGCAGGATCCAGACTAGGCCTGGTTACGAACACCATATGCGCTCTGACCATCGCCATCGTCGTGGCCTTCATCTACTGCTGGCAGCTCACACTCCTCGTACTCGTCTGCGTGCCTTTCCTCTCGGGAGCCAACTTCATACAGATGAGGCCTACTGTTAGCTATGCTTCTACAGGCCAGAATGCCCCAGAACATTCTGGAAAGGTAAGGCACATGTATAGTTAGTGGTGAATGTTAAAGAATAATTTCTGAATGCCTGGGTGAGTATTGTCATCTTCATATCCAGGTTCCCGTAGCTCCTTAAAAAGTCTTAAAAGGTCTTAAAATAAAACCAGGGAAAGTAATGTTATAAATTGTCGTAAATTTGCTGTAGGTATTAAATTTGCAGAATATGCCTTTAAGGCTGATGGCCAAATTATCAAGCACAGCGGCCAACCATAAAACATCCAATAGTGTGTATGTGTGATTAGCTTATGTAACTCGTGTCCCTCATACTCAGTCACAGAGCATCCCAATGGTAAGTCTTAATAGGCATGTAATGATGTCACATCAGTGTCAAAACTAGATAATGGTAAAACACAAAGAGAAAAAAATAAACCTGCAAACGTAAACATTTCGCCTGCATAAATATCCTTCTCACGAGTGCATATGTGAAAATTGCCAGCTCAGAAAGAACTGCATGTGCGTATATCATAATATCGTGCTCAAACTGTCTTTTTTCCTTCTTGAATGTTTATTTCCTTCTCGATTTGACAGATACCCTCCAAATGAATTCTCTTCGGCTGCTCTCTATGCTTGAGTGAAATTTTTGCTCTTAAATTTTGACATGGGTGTGGTTTTGATAGTTTGGGGGGGGGGATCATGGCCATTTCTGTGGGTGAGTGATGTTGGCTGGTGGCTCCTGGTTTTGTGATTGACTGCACACTATGAAAAGCTTGTCCAGAAGATAGATCGTGGATTATAGTGAAGGGAATTCAGGCTCTTTTTAACAAACCAGATGATTTTAGTGATTGGAATAACAGCTCTTTGAAGGGAGCTGGATCTTATGGCTGTGTTACTTTCTGAGAGCTGTTCATTTTTCTTTTTTGGGGGGTGAGGGTTACTAGGTTTATCTGTGAAATAATCACTAAGATAGGCATAAGATTTGCATCAGAGTGCATATTATCTTGTATGGTTAATAAAGCCTACCTGTTTTATGCAGATCACCACAGAGACAGTTGAGAACTTCAGGACAGTTGTGTCCTTGTCACAAGAAGAAGTATTTTTCCAGAGATTCAAAGATAGTTTGAGTTCTTCATACAAGTAAAGTATCGTTTTATTTAAATCACATATATCTCAATTACTAACGTTAACCTTGTGTATAAAATCCATGCATGATACATGCTGCCTTTTTTGGAAAGAATTTAGCTTTGTTTTGTATATTTCCATTATTAATTTTTGACAATAATATTTAACACTGTTTCAGGACTGCTCTACGTAGTGCCCCCACCTATGGAATAACCTACGCCCTTGCTCAAGTCACCCGGTACTTTGTCAACGCTGCGATTTTCCGTTTCGGCGCGTGGCTTATAGCACAATGCTACACGCATTACGAGAATGTTTTTCTGTAAGTCTTTAATTTCCATATCAAGGGAAATCCAGAGTGGTGTCAGTGGTGTCTTGACGTACCAGTGGGATGGTGCATAACTGGCTGTGCTTGGCGCTCTCCCCAGTGTGTACTACGCCATTCTCTTTACTGCTATGAATGTTGGATACTTAACCAGTTTCCCTACGGATTTTACGAAAGCAAAGGCATCTGCACGGCGAATATTAGCCTTGCTGGAGAGGAAGCCTGAGATCGACATTTACAGTGAGAAGGGCGACATGCCTGTAAGTTCTAGACCAGGACTCATGATTCCTTAGAATGTGACTGTTATCTTTATTGTACTCTTGTTTTATGCCCTTTGCTGGCTGGGATAAGCTCCAGGCCCCATCGTGATCCTGTAC